TATTTTTGTTTTAATTTATTAAAACGTTTAAATAGAATAATATTATTATGTAGAATAAATAGCTACATAAAACACGATAGAAACACGGTGGTTAAAGAATAAAGTATCAGTAAATAAAAAGTTTACAATTTATCATAAAATTTAAAATTCATTATTAATTGCTGAACTAATCATTAGCTCAGTTCATTATTTTATCTTAAGAAATAACTACAACTCTCTCTAAAACTGAACATGATATTAATATTGATATCCCCACTATTCCCATGTCAAGGAAGAAGAAAAAAGGGAAGGGAGAAATATGGGGGGAAAAGAAACAAATCAATAAAAACAATATTGAAAACTACATAGTTTTAAATTCCCTCCCATTGTACCTGACTGTTGATTATGTCAACATATTTATAAACATTGAAATTGTTTCTAATTACTCTCTTTTGTCAATTATTTTCCCCATGAAAACCATACTTTAATGTCTGAGTTTGCTTTGTTGTGTGACATATGACATATATGGGACTCATTCTTGCTTAAATTTAGTCAAACTTATCTTTTGAATGTATACTGTTAATTTTGCATTGCTATGTATTCCCCAAGTTTGGTTTCCTAGTCTGATATTGTTGGCAAAGGATCTCTTTTCCAAACTTGAGCCAAATTTGTCCTTAAGCTATCAGCATATATCTTAATAACTTGTGATATTTTTTATTTATTTGTTCTGGAACAATTCCTAGTAGAAACAACAGAGGTTTCAATTCAAACTTTTTTTCTTAAAATGTTTTGAATAAAGCTCTGTATTTCTTTCCAGTACTTTTTACATGACCATCAGTCATATGTTTATCATGTAAAAGATACCTATGCATTAGCTCCACTCAATAATATTAGACCACTTTTATTCAGATCGATTACGCCTGTCTCTTAGTTTCACAGATACAGATACAGATACAGATACAGATACACGAACTTAATTCATTCTGTGACTCTGGTCGCGACCCAAATTGGTCGCGACCTGAATCAAATTTTCCCATAAGGTTCAATGTAAATACGGTTAATCCGTTCTGACCCCTACGAATTTGGTCGCCA